AGAAGAAGTTGATTGGGAGATATTGGACTCTATAGGAGAGGGGGAAGATGAGAGAGCAGCTCATCATAATGATGATTCAAATGAAGACCCCCTTAGTGATGACTGATGAGTGATGATAATGCTAATGACTAGTGAGTTCCTAACTTCTTATGTGATATGTTAATGTCATTGCTATTTATCTTGTGTATTTTTATGTTTTATATATTATTTACGCATTAGTATATACAAAATTTATTATTTTATGTTTACGCAATTTTTTTATTTTGAGGCTTACGCCTCAAATCGCCTTGAGGCTTACGCCTCGCCTCACGAACGAAAAATGCCTCAATACCCGAATACGCAATTTTAAACCTTGGTCTCAAAAATGCCCATCTTCAAATCCCAAATTATCGATTCAAGAACTATAAATCCTATGGCAAACTCCTCTCATAAATTAATTCCATATACCCATTGCGCTAGCCACAAGAAAATAACCATGGTCAATAGATCATTGATCACCATGGCAGGTCGAGATATTTTTATAATAAATCCCTCACATTTTAAAATATCCCCCATGTACTTAAATTATAAACTAACATATTATCCATTCAAATGCTAACTAAAGATTTCAAATGCAATGTGTTATATCCTTTATATTCCATCTTTTGAGAGCTGTCACGAGGAGGGTGATTGATCTTGATAAAGTAATAGATGGTCACTACCATACAGATAATCCAATAATCGAAAAACTTCAATACGACCTTTAATATTATCTCTTATCTCAATAATTTTTAAGCCCGATAAAAAATGACTTCAACACCCATAGCCAGGCTACCCATCATTTATTAGTCTCAAAACCATGATTCATTCAATGCTTTAAGAAATAAATAAATAGAGAATTTTATTGTGATTTTTGTTAATTAGCGAAATAAAAATATATTAATTTTCTAAAGAGTGACACAAAAAACCCTTATTCAGTTATTCCTTTTTCTCACATTCATAACAACATTTGGGAACCACCATCTACACCTAACATCACTCTCGATGGTTTGGGTTTTTAATCGATGATCATACCCATGTGTTATGGATATTTTTACTAAAAATCAGAAGTGATGTAAGTATAATATTTTCCAACTTATTTAACCTAAACAAAAATCAATTTGGAGTTGTAATTAAAAGAGACATCCCATAATTCCAAAAGACTACTTTAATCATCCCTCCTCATTCTTCCAAAAAAAAAGGAATAATATGAGTCCTTTTGTGCACACACTTCAACAAAATAGAGTGGTTGAATGAAAGAACGGTCATCTATTACCAAATAGCTCTATTTATTCAAAAAAATGTCCCACAGCAAGTCTTAACAGCCAATCACATCATAAAAAAATTAGCAACAAAGACCTTTTAGTTCAAGAGTCCAACACAAGCCTGAAATAAATTATTTTACAATTTCATCGCCTAAAACAATATTGTTCCAAAAATATTTAAAAGTGTTGCGTTTGCTCATAAAAATTTCTAAAACAAACAAGACATGAACCTCAAGCAATAAAATGTATTTTATTAGCTATTACAAATTCTACCATTTTATCGTGAGAAAGGTGGTTGGTTCACTGATGTCACTTTCAATAAAAAATATCGTTATTTTGTTATTGCATATCATAACAAAGAATTATCATTAACAAATAAATTTTCCTCCTAGATTTCTCTTGTTGTTTATCCAAACAAATAACTCTATTCCAAAACCAACCACTCATACCCAAGTTGAGTTCAAACCAAAACAAATTGTCGAAACATTCACAGCGGTAGAGAGATGTAGAGTTTAACGTCCAAGCTTTGTACGAAGATCCATCACAAAAATAGATAAGAGTGAGGGGTGCAACAATCATAAGAGACACTAGATTTTTTATGTGAAAAACTCAAGAAAGAGAAAAATAACGGGTCTGGCCTAGTCAAAAAGATTTCACTAGTGTTTGTTTTCGATTATAAATGATGTCCTTTATCTGGTGAAGGTGTTAGCACATTACAGCAAATATACATTGTATAAAGCAAATTATATGATTGGAGTTGCAGAATCAATTGACATGAGAGCTTTTCTCAAAAAAATGTGGGCTTGTTTGTTTGGTAGATAAAACCATAGCCGAGCAACTGAGGTCAGACGGATCATAGTCGGTGAGCGGTGAAGGCCAGAAGAATCGTAATCGACAGTCAACGAAGATCAGAAGGACTATTGTCATACGACGGCGGTCAAAGGGATAGTAGACGGAATCAAGCGATCTTGGGCTCATTGGATTTGTCTTATTGAGCCACTCGATTTGACTATAAGCATGTCATATTTAGATATCATTGGTCACCCAATTAATATTCTAAAGCTTTCAAATATAAATTTGAGCTTAAATTGGATCGATTTTGGTGTTGTTGAGTTCGCCTCATCGAGACGTCCAGTTTGATTATTAGTTTGCTAAGATTGGAGTTAAGATGATCCTGAAATTAATTTTGAAAGCTCCCAATTCAAATATGCCTCAAGATTCACGTCCAATCAAGCCATTTTATTATGATGTGTCAAGCATGCATACTATTTTTATTCCCAAAATAATCTCTGACTTAAAATAATGAGAATTGAAATAATATTCTGAGAGAAAAATGGAATCCTTTAAAAAAAATTAAAATAAAAAATCTGAATTGGTAAAAACACTAAAAAGAAAAAATATTAATAGGTTACGGATGGGTCTTTATTAGAAAATATTAATCTAACAGTTCACCACAAAAGGTATAAAGCCCAATTAGTAGCTAAAGGCTACACTCAAACATATGAGATTTATTATCTTGAAATCTTTAGTCC